TTTCAAGGCGTTCCTTACCGGAAGCTCTTATATAACGTACTAAATACTTTCACGCAGTTCAGTTCCTTTATAACGTTCGGATTTTCTAAAATTAAAGATATGGTTTTTAGAGAGATATAGTAGGGTCAGTCTATCTTTTAGTACAGCATATAGACCGTTCCACCACCTAGCAGTTGAATGTTTGGAGAGATGATAGCAAACCTACGTTCTCTATGTAAAAGGCCAGCTCGAGCAAATATTTTACGAGATGAACGATTTGCCAAATAATTTGTGGGTCAACGAATTGATCCCCAAGTGAAATAAAACGGCGTGGGCCGTCAAAACGTGCAAAATAGTTCGAGTATGCAAATGTTTGGACCAGTTCAGCTTGTCTTAGTAGACCTAATAAAGCACAGCTGACCATCTTCCTCTTTTATACTGAACTACTCGACGCCCACTTAACGTATGCAAGTCCCATACGAGGTGATACTGCCTCTGCCGTAACACAATCGCTGCAAACATTCTAGAACAAGATTCTTGGCTGCAGCAAAGCACCCTGGATCACTTCCAATAATTCAAGAGATACAAAGAATATGGTATTCTCACCATAGATCAATTCATCTCTTATCTCTCAAGTAACAGAACAATTAGAGATTGGAACAGTTTATCTGCAGCAGTTTTCAACGCTTTTCCTCTTAGTGTCCGAAGTTTTAGAAACAAGATAGAACAAGATGACAGTAACAGATATTAAATGAGCAAGTGCTGTGTAGTGCGGTGAAGTGCTGTGAAGTGCTGGTCAGTGTAATTCAAAGCAAAAAAGGGTAGTGAAGTGAAGTGAAGTGAAGTGCGGTGAACGCGATCAATGCACTTTTCAATGCTGCTTTTCGTCTTGTACTGTTTTGTACGGTACTATTATTATTATTATTATTATTATTATATAATTATTATATTATTATATTATTATTATTATTATTATTATTAATGTAAGTGTAGTAATTTTTGCAATTATTGTCACTTAACTGCCACCAGGTCATACCCAATTGCGGTTCTAATAAATGTAATGTAATGTATAAATTCTACAGCACCCTACCTTTTTTGTTCAGATGCAAAAACATTCTAAAAAATCCTACTTCCACAACAGAATAAATCAAGTTTGTTCAAGAACCGAATCCAACCCCCTTAAAACTCATTTTCTCACCTAACTATAGTATTTTTCAACCCTCGTTATCAAGTCTTCTCCCCATTCACGAAACTCTGGAAGTTCAGTCAAATCCCAGATGCATTTAGGTACGAGGCGCGCCTGCTCGAAGGTCCTCAGACCCGCGTCAGGGGTAGGTATCCAAGAAATCTTGGGTGAAACACTGATGCGAAACAACTTCCTAAGGGGAGTCTCCCCGCAGATAGTCCCATACAAGGGCGAATCCAGCCTATCATTTTGGAGGGGACCATCGTAGATTTTTGTTAAATAATAAACATTTTTGTTATTATATTGTATGTTATTTATGTACTAGAGACAGGACACTATACAATATTATTGTTTAAATATTAACATAATTCGAACATAAATTAATATTCAAAACAATTTGGCAAATAATAAAAGATAAATGATACGAACAGTGTTTTGGCGCAGCGATCTTTGTGATAATGCCGGGAATTAAACCAACGCCTTCTAAATTGATCTATGTAGGTGGCATTGATTAGGTAATCAATAGTAAAATTAATAGAAATAGTAAAATTATATTTATCATTAAATTTAAGTAACATCTTATTCACATAATCAAATAAAACAGTCACATTTTAATGTTAGATTTACATGCAACGCTAGACTTGCACACAAAACGATTAATAGAGCAATTGCAGAAGTAGAAATGAACACAAATTAGACTGAGTTTGTGAAGTTTTAATCTCTTCAAAAATTAGGGAAGAAAACTATGGAAGTCATAAGGAAATTTGGGGAAGAATCAAATGTAGTTTTAAATTATGTTTTGACAGAATATTCGGAACTGATGATATGAATTTTTGCATTTAGCATTTGCGCTAATGCAAATGTGTTATGTACATTTTTGTACATTTCAGAAAAATAGCGAACTGTAGCTGTACTGAAATTTACCTATTAGCATCATCAAAACCTACAAATAATTTTTACTGCGATTATTATTTTGAAATTGCAATAAGACCCGTTCATATTCCGTATGGAGGTAACATACTCGTACACGTCTATTGGGTGTTTAGAACATTTGAACGGTAGTATAACACTATCAACTACTACATTCATTGGTAAGTACAATTGGCCAAAACTGAAAAAAAACATATTTGTACAAAGCTGGGGATAAAATAAATTATCATAATATCATCATAATTTCAACAACACCTGAAACTATTGTTTAAACAGTTTAGAGCGTCGGCGACACCACATTTTACTAGTAAATAAATATTCTAAACACTCCTGTATAGCGCTAAGTCGCTATAAAAGTAAATTGTGCAATAAATAATTGAAATTTAGTCTTTTTGTTTTTTTGTATTGTCTTTTTTTTGTGAATTTGCCAATTTTGCGTTGAATGCTTCGGCAGTCATAAATAATAATAAACCCGAAATATGTGATAAACGAACAGTAAAAATTAAGCATACAAACTGTTTTATTTTGAAAGTTATTCGACACTGTTTTCTGGTATACATGAGAAGTGAAGTTAAGAAGCTATATCCAATGAGAAGTTTAACCCTGATTTACTACCTCATGTACCGCATCCACTGACACAAACTTTGAGCTCATGTCCTACCATTCCACATAAAAATTGTTTGGGCTCAAATTATCGCGTTACAGTTCCGCAACTATGCTATTCTTAATGTGAGCATATGTTATTATAATACTATATAAGAAAAAACATTAATGTTGCACAAAAGAACACGGAAAAACCTGGCAACAAGAAACTGCCTTCCAGCGGTCTGTTGAGAGCTTTCTGCGAGTACCGATAACCCACGTCTCGTCCTAAGTCTCGTCGACGTGCTTTATCAGGACGAAATCTGCGTTGGGCTGGTCGACACACTTCATGTGCAGAGGAATTAAACAGTCTTTCTCCCACGCCCCGCAGCTCAGCCCACCGCCGTTGGCACGTGACTGCTGCCGAAAGAGCCGAGCTCGGAGGACGAGTTAGGGGGGCGTTTTTGGAGAGGGGGTAGAGAAGCGCCAATGAGGACAGGGGAATCGCATCACTAACGGCGAAATAAACACAGCCTTGCCATAGCTCATGGTTCTTAGTCCAATGGCCTCGGCAAAAGGCGGCCAAGGGATGTGTCTCTGGCAGTCACGTCCAGCGAGGAGACATACGCCTCTTGGAACGCGTACAGAATTATCGAAAGCTACTTAAGAAACAGAGAGAGACAAATAAAGGAGAGAAACATATTCTTAGCTCAAAACGTTTAAGAACTGAAAAACATGGACATGCGACACATCAGTCACATACATTGAACACACACCACTAGCAGTAGCTCTCTTTACGTTGCAAGAGGTTTCAAGAATAGACATCAAATGGCCATTAAATTCACTTGTAAGTTATGTCGATGTAGGTCATGTCGATAGAAGTACTATGAGATCGCGGTAGTCAGAGTTTTTCTTTTCCCCTCCACTCATTTTTATTAGGTTTTAACAAACAGAATGGTACTGATTTTACACACACAAACAAAACGAGATATGCTTTACTTACGGGGACCAGGCGGACTTTACTTTTTGCTCATCCTGGGACAGTTCCAACCTCATTGATTGGGAAGTGAAGTGTAGATTGACATAGCCATTAAAGCAGAACTAGTGTATTTTCCTAAGAATGGACAACGAATATTATAACTTATTGTTAATATTTTAGATAAAATATCCAACGACAGACGCAATTTTAAGTTATTTATTGCAAGATAATGTCTGTTGTTGTAATAACAAAGTTTTTAATATTGACGGCATTTTTATTAAGATACTATGCTATCTGATAAAACAATTGACCAATGATGCCCAATTACACATTATATTTATTATAATTATTGTTATATGAAATGTTTTTTAATGTTTCATTATAAATATGTAATTTTTGTAAGAAGATAAGTTGATTCGTAAATAAAAATTAACAGCACCAATATTATTGTTATTATTATTATTATTATTATTATTATTATTATTAATAATAATAACAACAACAGAAGTACAGATAATTGACACATGGAACAATACTGGTACTGGAACACCGTGGAGATAAAGACTGTCCTCGTGGTTATTTCAGTAACGAGCCGTATTTCGAAGATCTTGAGATACTCATATGAAACACTCAAATTTTAAAACAAGTACCGCCATCAGTTCAAAAAAATCTGTTTCACTCAGAACATCTTCCTTGGTCAGGAAATGTCTGGTAAGTAATGAACGTTTGTAGGTCAAATAATCATCTGATGTGATATTCCAGTCCCTCTATATTGAACTCAAACTTTTATTAGGTTGCTTTTAACTTTTAATAAATGTTAAATAATCATAATTAAATATTGCTTACAATATCTCACAATTAATGTATAAGGTACATTGTTAATTTCGTTGTCGTGCTTTTTTAATATCTGTGTTACTTTTATATATGTACCAGTGAAATGTGTATGATTAGATTACTGTGTCCAATAAATTGAAAAATTACTCATTACTCATTTTTTTTTTATTTTTTAAGTATTGCCAGTCAAAATCTATTTGATCCCAACCGTTCAATATCAAAAGTGATAAGATCCAAATTGGGAATAGTTACAACTTACATGATCCAGAAGACAATATCAAAAACCTCTTGACCACAATTCACTCTTAGATGATTGTAATTGCTTCATAAAAATCATTATCCAAAAGACGAAACATTATTTGTATTGGTACAACACCACCATTGGTCTTCTCCAGATGACAGAAATAAACACGCCACGTGTCGAACAGATTTTCCTTATTAGTGAAAAATCTGTTTCGTCGATTCTGACGGTGTCAGCGGTAGGCGGAAGAGCTGGCCCGAGGCACTCACCCGCTGGAGGTCGCCTGCTGTTCGCCCATGGCGCCCGGCTAGCACCAGCCAGCACCGACCGCCAAGCCACGTCCGCTCGACTGCCTCGCGCCTCGCGCACTGCCTCGTTGCGCTCGCGAAGGCCGCTGCGCCGGGCAGCACGGGAGAGAGCGCCCCCCCCTCCCCTCCCCACCCCGCCCCACTTGCACAACGGCGACGGACCTGCCGCTCGCGACTTTTAATTGCGCGCGTACAATAGGAAATATCGCCGAAGGATGTTGACTTCTCGCCCTTCCACTCCGCGGGCGGAGCCCCAAGACGATGATTACCGTGAGCGATTTTGGCGAATCTCTCCGCGAATCTGTGCACAGCATTGTCAAGCGCTGCACCGCTTCATTTCTTTACCTGGCACTTTCTCCTACTCTTCATACTCTGTTCAGAGCGTTGCAGTTTTTTTAAGCTGTCGGTTAAAGTTTCTATTGGTTTACTGTTATAGTGATCTTCTGAATCAGAATTTTTATTTGACTTAATTTTTTAACATATTACAATTTTATACATTTTATAACGTATCAGTTTAATGTATTTTAAATATAAAATAAGTATTTTCTTTATTTTCATTGCTTGAATGAACAGATGTACAGAATTGTAATACTGCAAAAATCGACGAAGACACAGACTTCAGTGGCCCAGGTCATCAGCTGATGTCACTGCAGTGCATATGATCGGGAGGGTTAGCGTCCCAATGGCAGATTTTCGGCAAGAGCTAGATAGTGAAGTCTAATTCAGCTGCTGTCTGGAAAAGAATTCTAGCAGTCGCTTGCTCTGATCGGTAGTTTTCCATGGTTTCTCCGATTAACATCAGGCGAATGCCGGAGCAGAACCTTAACAAAAGGGTCACGGACAGCACGCAATCTTTCCTTCCTCTTCCTTATCCTATCTTCACTCATATACACTTACACGCACTACACTACCACATGTTCAGAGACCAGTCGAAAACACCCTTAGACTTGCACTTAGACTTGCACTTAGACTTGCACTTAGATTTGCACTTAGACTTGCACTTAGACTTGCACTTAGACTTGCACTTAGACTTGCACTTAGACTTGCACTTAGACTTGCACCTAGACTTGCACCTAGACTTGCACCTAGACTTGCACTTAGACTTGCACTTAGACTTGCACTTAGACTTGCACTTAGTACCGAGTGAGGGGGGTGTCAGGATGGTGGGATACAACGGGTTGAAGAAAAGCCCGCCAGTCGACGGGTAGGTCGGCGCCGGATCCCTACATCCAGCGTGGGATGGCCGCCATCTCTCGCGTTAGAGCACGCACTTCCCTTACGAGACAAATGACCTTAGCAGTTGTCGCGCCCGCAAACACTAATGTGCATGCACCTCCATCGTGAGCAACGGCGCTTGCCTTCCGGTCGTCCCTTACCAAACGGTACCCTGGCATTGCTACCAGCGCGGCGGTCAATGAATGTTTCGCCCATGAGAAGCGCATTCCAGCGGTGCGTCGTTGTTAGATCCGTTACTTCATGGATGTGACAACGCAGACACTGGGCATTTAAATGTCAGACACAAGAAGCGAGAATTCGCCTAGTTTCTGTGAGCCGGATCTCTGGCGGGCGGAGAAAGGGTCCCGCCATTCGCAGGCAAAAGGTTCACAGGAGAAGAGAAGAAAGTAGATGTATTTACAGAGGCTCTGTTTGCAGAATGTATCAAGGAATAAAATAAAACGTTGTGCTAATCACTGTAACACTCTACATTTTGGAAAACTGCAAATGTTAACATCGCTTAACTACAAGTTTTAAAGATTTGTTTGTTTGTTTATCTTAAAAAATCACACCTTTAAAAAGGTGATGAGTAAATTTTTGAAGAAACGCGTAGTTTTCTTCCAATTTCTACTTAAAGTTAAAGCAAATTATTTTAAAAAATTTATCCTCCAGAACCGCTCTATATTTTTTTCTTTTTTTCATCAATATAACAAGAGACGTTTAAAAGAATGAAACAGGTCTAATTTTCGTTGAACTCTCTGAATTCTTGAAAATTGCAAAAGATAGGAGATAGTATGTGCTGTTGTATCACCACTAGTTGTTAAATGAAATACAATATAGATCGTTAAACAACGTCATGTTCATTTTTTTAAACGAGTAGTTTTGCGTAACTTTTGCTTCAAGTAAAGCCAATTGATTTTTTTTTTCAAAAACCTTCAAATTGTATCCTTTCCTTCCCCCCTTGGATATTGCAGTAGATGTTTAAACATTTAGTTAAGTCTCAATTCCGGCGAACTTTGTTTTTTAGAAAATTGCAAAGAAGTTAAATCAGAAAAGTAAAGTATTGATGTATTTTTTTCGAAAATAAAGTCTGTTCTAAAACATTAGATCATTAAAGAAAGCCAAGTACAATCTGTTTTAAAAAAAGACAAGTAGTTTTCGTGTCTTTTTTACTTGAAGGAAAGAATATTTATATATTTTCTCAGAAGCTGCTTCAACCACTGCTTCACCAAAATTTTTCTCTCGGATACAGCACCTTAAAAATAGCGTAGGTCACATTTTCCTCCAACTTTCTGTTTTTTTCAAAAATTACAAGTAGAAATTAAATTTATAAATCTCCAATATTGATAGAGATTTTATTCCTTAGTGTAATCTGTTCTTTAAAAGGTCTTGAAATAATATAAATGAAAATCTCTGAATTTTTGTTATTGCACATGCAAATGTCCAATTTTCTTTTAAAGCGGCGGAAAGTGTTTTTTTTTGTTCTCAAATGACGAACGGTCACAAGTAGCCTACCTTCTGCAATCCCTTCATGAAGATGGAGGCACCACCCAGAGCGACCGCGAGGGTGACGCTGCCGACCGTGAGCTTGACCTTGGAAAAAGCTCACAATCTTTCTGCCTTCCTATGTATAACTAATGATTCCCAATTGACATTCACCACATTGTATTGGCGAATTAAGCCGCTTTCTTCTGCATTCGGTTTAATGCTTTAATCTGACCTTGCCTATGAGGAGCCAGCACGCTACTCCATGTTCCATTATGAGATGAACCAAGAACGTGTAACCTGCACTTTAGGCAACAGTTAACCTTTTGTAATACGCGCATAACAAAACGAAGAGCTTTCCTAGCCTTGTGTGGACATTTAATGTGATCAGCCAGCTGAGGTCTCTTTAAATTATGGTATTTTGACAGACACTTTAATGGCCACGAAGAAGCAAAACAAGAAAAACGACAGGAAAAAGAAATTAATACGGAAAGAATTCTACACTACAGACTAAATGACAACATCCGACTGGAAACGAGCCAACTATGAGTTTAGACACCTGATGACCCGATTCGCTGTACACAGTGTTCATCACAGATTCTGATGTAATAGAAAATATCACGAGCCAGATTCTCAGAGTAAATGCAAAATGTGCCACAAGTGAGCCGTTATCACCTGGTAGTCGCTGACTGAGTTTTGCGTCAGGGACAAATAGATACTCGCATCGCGCATACACGCTGAGTTTGAAATTGCCCTCTGCATGACCATAAGAAATCCAACAAAATGTGCTTACGACTAGAAGACGAAAAATGTCAGTGATATGTGAATAAACGTGCAGAAATATTGTCAGGAACAATACCGGGAGTATAAATACAGAAGTGTAGATATACAAACACATACTAATGTCCACTAGATGAACCCTAAATACTTATTAAATGATGGTATTACGCCCAGATATTTACAGTTTACGTACCCTCGGAATTATACTTCCACACATTGTATATTGGCATCTTTACTGTGTTCGAGTTTTCATAATAGTAGTTTATGCAATATTTTTTTAATGTTAAGCTTAATTAAATGATTATATTTTTGAAAAGTGAGCGACGTTAGGAGCGAGTTGTAAAAAATTGAATGAATGCAATAAAGTAACACTATAAACAAGTTGCATATGCAATTTTTTATATACCAGTATTATAAATTAATAAGTGAATCAAACTTAACTTTCAGAGACCACTTCCTTGTGACGTCTCGGGCATTTGACATCTGTGCAATAAAACGGTGGTCGCCTATTCCATTTACCCCTACCTCCCCACGATTCTCTCGCAGCGAATGGCTGCATGTGTAATGATACACTCATTCGTGCCGTAAAATGCTAATACGTCATCAATTGTGCCGTAAAACTCCTAATTATGAACGATTTCTTGCAACAGAAAAAGTCGTTTTTAATGCTCATATACAAAAACGGAATGGAATAGATTGACTGTAAAACCCTTTGAGCCCTTTCCTCGAAACGTTTTATAAATTTATATTTTTCTACATTTATAAATTCTAAGTATTTTATAAAGTCAGAAAAAAACTGTTTATTTAAGTCAACATTACTATAAAGTAGTGGTGCTTTGTTTCATCATTAAAACCACGGCATTTCAAATGTCCATTAAAACCACGAAAATATACTGCCACTGAAATATAGCCTAAAATAAACTTTTTCCGTTTTCCGCTTATACCGTTCTGATTTTCACCCATTCAATTAACCTCATTTTTCTGGCATCCACCAAATCAAACTCTTCTGTAATCATATTTACTGACGATATGAAGGTGTCGCCTCTGGATTTCAACGCGCCAACTTCCTCACCGAACATCATTTCTTTAGATATCTTTAAGTCCAGGAGATTTTGTGCATCTCGAACTACGGTATACAAATATTGTTTAAGAAGATATATTGCAAGCACCACAAAATCGAACAAAATATCGCACTAACGTACCGCAGCAACAGAATGCATTTGTTTACTATCACAATAATGTCGTAAATTTGCACTAAATCGTGAGATTGTGACCAATAAAATGCTGAACATACCACGAGTGTTATTACTGCCTCGTGGAAAAATCTTGGCTCCGCTACGCCCCGCCTCAATTTTTACTTTCCCATATGCATTCGTATATACGAATATACGTAGTATAGGGAAAGTTATGTAATGCTGCGGAAAATTGATTTCGAGAGTTCAATAGAAATCCACGTTTTGGTGTCACCTGATACCAAAAATATGTTTTGTTTTTAAACGTACGTCCGTCCGTCCGTCTGTCTGGTGTATGTGAACAACACTAGTACCTTATACTATATACTAATTCCCGAAATGTTCACACAATCTATGAGTAATTCGTCCAAGTTCATAATAAATTGTAATTGATGTAAACTTCTGTTGACATTCAGTGCTTTTAATATCATAAATTGTGCGTCATTAA